TTACTTTTTTTTGGCGGGGGGGGGTGATTTTATTAAAATTAGACATTTTTTTCTTTACATGTTTTTTCTGGGGGGGGTTTTAATTAAACATTTTTTTCTTTAATTAAAATCTTAATTTTTCTTTACTTTGTAATGGGGGGGATGGTTGCTTTTTTCCCTTTCTTTTTCTTTTTTTCCCTTTTTTTTCATTAATTCAAGTATTTATTTTGATTGTCCACTTCACAGTCTTCAGTTGTATGAAATTCATTTTACAAAGCAGTCGTTGTAATTGGCGTTTAGTTTTTTTATTACAGTATTCCGTTGTTTATTTTCTGCTTGTTTATTTTTGGGCTTGTTTTTGTTTGTTTTTGGTTGTTTTTTTTCATTGTTTATGGTGGGGAGGGCCGGTGTTTTTGTTGGGTGTTTGTTTTGTTGTTGTTGCTGCTGTTTGTTTGGGGGTTTTTTCATTTTCTTGTTTCCTTTCACGTATTGTAGCCGCCTTTGGGCGAGTCAGGGAAGATGAGGAGTATACGCCTTAATAGGTCAAACTCAGAGGTAGGGATTTAGCCTTGTGATATGATCAGGGACAGAGTTGGTTTGTTTGTTTGTTTGTCTGTTTATGGTTTGTGCTGGTGCTTCTATAAATAATTACGCCTGTTATTAATCGATGGGGTTTATTATCAGAGTGTGTTTTTATAATTTGTGTGAGTGTATGTGTGTGTGTTTGGGGGGGGGGATGTGAGGGGGTGGAGGGGTGAATCTCCTCTGAAGGTGTATGGTACTGACAGTGTGGTGAGTTGGATTGTATTAACGTTTGTTCTAAGAATCTCAAGGAGAGAAAAAAAGTAGCCTAGGGTATATTAAGAAAGGTTTACTGTGTTGGGTTTTTTTCTTAATTGTTTTTAGGGGTTTTTTTTAACGTAGTTTAGTTAAATATAACTGTTTTATCCCCTGTCTCTCTCATTAACTATCTTTTCTTCTCTATCTCTGTTTGTTTGTCTGTCTGTCCGTTTGTTTGTCTGTCTGTCTGTCCGTTTGTTTGTCTGTCTGTCTGTCCGTTTGTTTGTCTGTCTGTCTGTTTGTTTGTCTGTCTCTATCTCTCTCACTCACTTTATGTCCATCCATCCATCCGTCCGTCCCAGTCCGTCCCACCAGTCTATGTTAGTGTCTCCTATAGTATTCCTTATTATGTCTTTCGTGTCATCTCCTGTATTCCCCTGCCCTTCTTCTGTGAGTGCTGACCACACATACTCATTTACCCTGTTCTTCCTGATTGTTCTCTGATTAACCGTCTCAGATCTAAGACTTATATATATGTCTTTCAGTCTTCTCTTAATGTAAAATATTGATTGGTATTTGTGTAGTACTTTGCTTATCCGCAGCGGCTGAGGTTATTTCTCCACTCCTTGATTGTCCTGATTGAGATTTTCATAGCGTTGTCAGCTATATTATATATAGATATAAACGTGTTTATAACATGTGTTTATCTATTTATTTATTTTTTAAAAATTCATTTGGAGCTCTAGATTTAAGCATGGCGTAAGTTTTCAGATAACATTTAGTGTCCCTAATGAGCTTGGAGAGAGGCTATTTAGGTTGTGTTTGGAAGTCAAATGTCTTTATCCAGTTGTTTGTCTCATTTGTTATTCTGCTGGGTAATAATACGATGATGGTAGTACTTATGATCATTACTATTATATGCATCATAATAAGGGCCATACATTTGTTGGAACATTTTCCCCGTTTTCACCCTGCTGCTGCTGATGATAGTGATGTACTTATTGTGAATGATGATGACATAATTAGGATGAAAAGAAAAATAAGGATAATATATTTATAACTACTGTAAGAAGATTATTATACCAACGACAAATTCACGATAATGATAAAGACAATTGAATTTTGTTTAACATATAGATTAAGGACAAAGCTGTAAACAGAGGTTGAGGGGGTGGGGGGGGGGGATTAATCATATAATTATCCTCTTTTTAAATTCTTAAGTTGCAATAATTATGTTTTTTTGTCTGAAATTTCTGTCTCTGTTTCTTGTAGAGCTCCTATGATTCTACTCTGTCTCATGTATGTGTATGTAATGTGTGTTTTGTTTATGTGTGTGTGTGTGGCTTGGCCTCACTAATTTGGTCGAGGTGGATTATTTTCTGTTTTTGTGTCGATTTTTGTGGTTTGGTTTGGATTGCAGTGCTGTCTGACACTATCACTTAACATAATGATAATAAATGACATTTATATAGCGCTCAACCCAGGTTTAAGTACACAGGCTCTGAGCATTTTACAATACAGTACAACGTACAACAGTAACATAAAACGCTGTGTTCTGACTAAAAGAAAATTACTCCGAATATTCATCTTATTAATTTAAAACGGAAACGACTTCAGCTGACACTTGAATGAATCATATGATTTAATTACATTACATGTTTATTAAAGAAAATGATAATAATAATGATAGAAATAATAATAACTGCATTTATATAGTGCATATCTATGCCCTACAGCGTGTTGTATATGTGCTCTACAACTTTTTAGTTAACCGTGATTTGGAGAAAAAATTACTACTCATTTCCTGTGAATCAGAGAACACATAAAGGTGTTTCAAAAATAGACTGTGATGCAGAATTATCTAAGGTGCCTTCTTTCAATGATACATACCTTCTCCAATAATAGTGCGAGGTCATCAAAGGATATGAAGAGCACAGAGAAAAAACGACGGTAATCACAAACTGGAAATTGTGAGGGTGCCAATTTTAAAAGCTTGTGGACTTCATATTTGTTTGACTTGTGGTTTATTGTTAAGTGTTGTTGAATGGGAAATCGAACGACAATAATCAACCAACAGTTGAACAGAAATACAGTTCTGAGTCAACACGCGTTCAAAATTGGCACCCTCACGATTTTCAGTTTGTGACTACCGTCGTTTTTCCCCTGTAGTCTTCATATGTGTTTTTCTATCTTTTCACCTCTCCACCCAACAGTATGTTGGCATTAGGTGTCATGTGAGGTGTTAACCGCACATTTCAGTGATTAATGACTGTAATGTTACGAGATGCCGTTGACTCAATCGTAATGCATACACTCTGCTTACAGTGTCATGTCTCAAGGTGTCTCATACTGTGTCATTTAACCACTCTGATAGACAGTGTGGCATCTTCAAGTGTCTTATATCACGTAATAATAATAGTAAATATAATATTAATAATAAATATAATAATATTAACAATAAATATAATAATATTAACAATAAATATAATAATATTAACAATAAATATAATAATATTAACAATAAATATAATAATATTAACAATAAATATAATAATATTAACAATAAATATAATAATATTAACAATAAATATAATAATATTAACAATAAATATAATAATATTAATAATAAATATAATAATATTAATAATAAATATAATAATATTAATAATAAATATAATAATATTAATAATAAATATAATAATATTAATAATAAATATAATAAAATATAATAATATTAATAATGATGATAATAATTATAATAATAATAACAATAAATATAATAATATTAATAATAGTAATGATGATAATAATAATAATGACAATAATAGATAGCATTTGTATAGCACAGATTCCCGCTCAACAGCAAGCTCTTTGCACTTTACAGTCTATATGACCCATATATTCCAGTAAATAGTGTAATGTTTTGAGGTGTCGTGTGGGATGTTAATTATATATTTCAACAAATAGTGTGAAATCACAAGATATATTATTCAGTGTTATTTACGCGATTTAACGAACAGTATGACGTCAGAAGATTTCAGTGTTATCTGTAGCATCCAATAAATAATATGAAGTCTCGCTGTCTGATAAAATGTTATTTGTATGCTGCAATCAATAGTGTGATGTCTTTTTCTTCCTCACTCTTCCAATAGTGTAATATCAGGGTGTGTGTCGTATATCTTTTTTCTGGTATATATTAGTACATAATATATAAAAAAAATGTTTTATGCATTAATATTTATGGGTTTCATCAAAAAGTGTGATCTTACTAAGAAATCATTCTTTATGAAACGGTAGATTTATGGGGGGGGGGGGGGGGTATTTTGCTTTTGTTTTGTCAGAAAATGATACTGAAAATTTAAAAATTATGCATATTTTGTAAAAAAAAAAATTCTTAAAATGAATTAACAGTTTTAAGAATGATATATTTTTGTGATATTAGAGAATGAATTGAAAGTTTCATAAATATATGCTTTCATGATATCAGAGCATTGATTTTAAAGCTAAACAGTAAGATATGTTTTTAGCAAATTTAGAGAATGAATGTGAAGGTTAAAAAAAAATATTCTTTGATACTGACGAATGAATGAATTTAAAGGTTCAAAAGAAATACCTTTCTTTCTTTTTTCTATCAAAGAATGAATTGTAAGATTGAAGAAGGTTTTTAAAAAAAATTTTTAAAACATTTACAGGCTGTAAAGAAACTAAGTCAGTATATTTTTAATCATCCTCATGTTGGGTACTGAGTCAGCCTCAAACTCACAGAGAACATCTGCATTGTACATGTAGGGCCAGCAGTTTTATTTTGTGGACCCCATAAAATATCTGCTCATACGCTTACTGATATGGAAAATATTATGTCTGACTAATTCTGTTTCGAGCAAAATTTTATGCTGGAAAGACTTTTAGGACTTTTGAGATTGTTGATGTCCTGAATGCTATTTTTTTACAGTTGTTGTGGTTTTTAATTATATCTTTAATCGCATGATAGTTTTAGTATTCTACAGTATAATCCACACAGTGGCTACCGTTACAGGATTGGTGCCTTTGTTGGGATTCTGGCTTGACATTTTTTGTCTTTTACATTTTTTTTTTTGGCGTACTTAAAATAAGTAAAGTAGATAAATTCCTCTTTATTGATCCTACTTGGAGATTTGATTTACAATACATATAAGTATATGTGTGACTTCTTGTTTTTCTAACAAGTTTTTTTTTTTTCTTCTTTGTGTTGGTGATTTCAGCAAGGTGGTTCCCCTACCAGTTCTGGATCTGTCAGTCAACCTGATAAAGGTGAGTGACACTGTACTTGGGCTGCAAAGTAAGCAGTCATATGTTATATAGTTGATGAGAAATTATTGTTTGCACAGCAGTTGGAGGATACCATGAGTAGATTTATTTCTTTTCTTTCCATCTCTTGTTTCTGTCAGTCTTTCTTCCTACACTAAACAACCTGTCTGTCTTGCACCCCCACCCGCCACCCCCCTCGCGGGTGGTGCCACTGACTGAAGTGTCTTCCATTTCCAAAGGGGGGACATTAACTTGTTATGCACAGTAGAATTGTAAATGGGCTGATTCATCAATGTCATGCTCATAACTGTGCCGGAACTGCAACAGAGAACTGATGCTTTTTCTGTCCTAATTCTTACTATCGTCATTTGCCTCTACTTCTTTTGTATGTTTGTCACACTCTTGTGACCCGCAATTTCCGGGGTGCCTTGATAGTTGAAGCAGACTTTGTGCTGTTGAAGCTAGAGAGTTGAGCAGAGTAAGCCTGATTCCCTGTAAAGATTTCTCTGTTGACATCTACCCCTTGGCGCTCATATGACCTTATGCAGTTGCGAGCGCCGTAAAAACTCTACTAAAACAAAAGTGTCTGTCTTGTTTGCCCATTTCAAGTGAGTCTGAATAGGTGACGACTTACCTCCAAACGTCTGATCCCTGTACGCGAGGAGTTGGGAACAAGGGTTGTGTCCTGCTCTCCACAGGACAGCCGGGGGGGGTCTATTGTAAGCACCAAACGAAGAAATAAATTGACGCCAAGATTAACCTGCTCATCATTTTTGAATATTTTATCATTTTATCATCATCATCATCATTATCATCATCATCCTCATCATCATCAATTCATCTTTTGCTTGTTTTGATTTTTTTGAAGCATAACAATTTGAACCATGACACATTTTTAGTAACTTATAAATATTTGCCCCAAAATCAGGACATGGGACAAAAAAAAAGTGAGCCTAAATAACTGCTTTCATGTCGGTGCCCTTCACGTTTATGTACCAGTGTTTGTTGTGTAGCCGTTTGTCTTTGCCATAGAATGTTGAAGATGTGAGTTTGGTGCCCATGCAAGGCTTTATTTTATGAAGCATCTCTGTCTTTTTATGGAATGTTGTGTCCTTTAACCCAGCCTGTCGGTGGTTGGTGGGTGCTCTGGTGTGGTTTGCTTCTTCTTTCCTATCAAACATCTACCGTCCTTATCTCCCCTCCTTCTTTTTTATGTATGTTACTCTCTTGTGACACCTTTAATCTTCTGGCGCTCATATTACCTTATGCGTTGCGAGCGCCGTAAAACCTCTACTAAAACTAACCCAGCCTGGATGGGCCTTGACATGCAAAGTTTAGGAATCCAGCTGCCTAAATCATCTGAACTGTGTCAGTGGTGGCCTGCCTTTAGTAGTTACAATCATCAACGGTCAATTTTTTAAAAATTTGGCGTTGTTTTTCCCCCAGTGTCTTGTGTGATCTGGGAGGGCAATGAGTGCAAGAAGGTGGACCTAACGGCGCTGGACATTGGCTGGGCCATCATCGACAAGGTGGACAGCCTGCCCGAGTCCTCCGACTACTTCCTCATTGGCCTGCTCTTCTCCTTCATCATGGGGCTGGTGAGTCCAGTTGTCTTTGGGACACCAGGGTGGGTAGGTGGGTCCAGTTGTCTCTGGGAGATGAGGGTGGTTGGGTGGTGGGTGGGTCCAGTTGTGTTTGGGACATGAGGGTGGTTGGGTGGTGGGTGGGTCCAGTTGTCTTTGGGACATGAGGGTGGGTGGGTGGTGGGTGGGTCCAGTTGTCTTTGGGACATGAGGGTGGGTGGGTGGTGGGTGGGTCCAGTTGTCTTTGGGACACCAGGGTGGATGGGTGAGTCCAGTTGTCTTTGGGACACCAGGGTGGGTCCAGTTGTCTTTGGGACATGAGGGTGGGTTCAGTTGTCTTTGGGACACGAGTATAGGTGATGAGTGGGTGAGTCCAGTTGTCTTTGGGACACGAGGATGGGTGGTGAGTGGGTGAGTCCAGTTGTCTTGGGACACGAGGGTGGGTGGTAGGCGCTTTGGTGTGGGTGGGTGGTGGGGCATGATCATGAGGGAGTGGGTAGGTGGGTGAGTCCAGTTGTCTTTATGGCACACACGTTGGTGGGTTGTGGGCACTTTGGGGTGAGTGGGTGGAGGATGGTGGGCTCTTAAATGTGGGTTTAGATCGCTCCTCCTTTTCTATGAAACGTCATCTATTATCCTCAATTCTCTTCCTCCTCCTCCTTCATTTTTATATCTGTATTACCATTATTGTGTGCATGTCCTTCTCTGTACAGTAATAGTGGGTGGTTGATGGGTGCTCAGGTGTGGTTTGCTCCTTCTTTCCTGTAAAAAATCTATCATCTCTATCTCCCCTCCTTCTTTTTTATGTTTGTTACTCTCTTGTAACATCTCTAATCTTTGGCACTTACATGACTTTATTGTGTTGCAAGTGAACGGTACAAGCGGAAATGGAAAAGGCGGGGACATCATGGAAACAGCAGGAAAAGGATGCACAGGACAGGCTTCGCTGGAGAAGTGTTGTTGATGGCCTAAGCTCCACTGGGAGTTAAAAGGGCAAGAGAGAGAGAGAGAGTGTTGCAAGTGCCATAAAACTCATACTCAAACTTAAACTCAAACTCAAATGCCTATACTGTTCCTGTTTACTGAAGCCAATCTGTCTGTGTGTGTTCCAGGTGCCTCTGGTGTTCCGGGCGTTCAGCAGCAAAGACCTGACCAACTGGGAGGAACTGCTCACCTGGCCAGGGCTGCTGCTTAAAGTGTCCACTCTGTCCACCATCTACTCCTGGAGGTCAGTCAGTGCAACATCTTCCGTCACAGCAGTGTGACCGTCATCATCATAAACATCATCATCATTATCATTATCATGATCATCATAAACATCGTCATCTTAATATTCATCATCATAAACATCAATATCATCATCATAACCATCATTATCATCATCATCATAAACATCGTCATCATCATCATAAACATTGTTATCATTGTCATCATAAACATCTTTATCATCATCATCATTATCATTATCATCATCATCATAAACATCGTCATCATTGTCATCTTAATATTCATCATCATTATCATCATCATCT